GCTACAAGACCATCGCCAAGCAGCTTGGTGAGAAGGTGACAACAGTTGGTGCGATTATTCGCAAATGGAAGAAACACAAAAGAACTGTCAATCTCCCTCGGCCTGGGGCTCCATGCAAGATCTCACCTCGTGGAGTTGCAATGATCATGAGAACGGTGAGGAATCAGCCCAGAACTACACGGGAGGATCTTGTCAATGGTCACAAGGCAGCTGGGACCATAGTCACAAAGAAAACAATTGGTAACACACTACGCCGTGAAGGACTGAAATCCTGCAGCGCCCGCAAGGTCCCCCTGCTCAAGAAAGCACATATACAGGCCCGTCTGAAGTTTGCCAATGAACATCTGAATAATTCAGAGGAGAACTGGGTGAAAGTGTTGTGGTCAGATGAGACCAAAATCGAGCTCTTTGGCATCAACTCAACTCGCCGTGTTTGGAGGAGGAGGAATGCTGCCTATGACCCCAAGAACACAATCCCCACCGTCAAACATGGAGGTGGAAACATTATGCTTTGGGGGTGTTTTTCTGCTAAGGGGACAGGACAAATTCACAGCATCAAAGGGACGATGGACGGGGCCATGTACCGTCAAATCTTGGGTGAGAACCTCCTTCCCTCAGTCAGGGCATTGAAAATGGGTCGTGGATGGGTATTCCAGCATGACAATGACCCAAAACACACGGCCAAGGCAACAAAGGAGTGGCTCAAGAATAAGCACATTAAGGTCCTGGAGTGGCCTAGCCAGTCTCCAGACCTTAATCCCATAGAAAATCTGTGGAGGGAGCTGAAGGTTCGAGTTGCCAAACGTCAGCATCGAAATCTTAATGACTTGGAGAAGATCTGCAAAGAGGAGTGGGACAAAATCCCTTCTGAGATGTGTGCAAACCTGGTGGCCAACTACAAGAAACGTCTGACCTCTGTGATTGCCAAAACAGGTTTTGCCACCAAGTATTAAGTCATGTTTTGCAGAGGGGTCAAATACTTATTTCCCTCATTAAAATGCAAATCAATTTATAACATTTTTGACATGCGTTTTTCTGGATTTTTGTTGTTGTTATTCTGTCTCTCACTGTTCAAATCAACCTACCATTAAAATTATAGACTGATCATGTCTTTGTCAGTGGGCAAACATACAAAATCAGCAGGGGATCAAATACTTTTTTCCCTCACTGTAGGAGTAGCCTACAGCCAATAGGCCTATTCCTGGGTTGCACATTTCCTCACAATATTGTTTTAACCGTTCGTTTTAGAACTGATTAAGAATTAGTCTAAAGTTAATTAATGTGGCTTGGAAACATGATGACATTTCAAACGGAGGTCAATGATTAGTAGGGCAAACTTTTGTCATCCTTGTGGTGTTGCCAGATTGACTTTAAATGCAGTAGCCTATAACTCAGTGGTGGAAAATGTACCCAGTTTTCATACTTGAGTAAAAGTAAAGATACCTTAATAGAAAATTACTCAAATAAAAGTGAAAGTCACCCAGTAAAATACTACTTGAGTAAAACTCAAAGTATTTGGTTTTAAATATACTTAAGTATCAAAAGTAAATTGAATCGCTAAATATATGTAAGTACCAAAAGTAGGCTATAAATCATTTCAAATTCCTTATATTAAGGCACCATTTTTTTGTTTCATTTACAGATTGGCCAGGGGCACACTCCAACTCTCAGACATCATTTAATGAAGCATGTGTGTTTAGTTAGTCAGTCAGATCGAGGCAGTAAGGATGACCAGGGATGTTCTCTTAAGTGTGTGAATTTTCCTGTCCTGCTAAGCATTTGGGTGTCAGGGAAAATGTATGGAGTAAAAAGTACATTATTTTATTTAGGAATGTAGGGAAGTAAAAGTACTGATACCCACAAAAAACTGCTTAAGTAGTACTTTAAAGTATTTTTACACCACTGGTATAACTTTAGCTAGCTAGCTAAGATTTACGGGAGAGCACTGACATTTTAGCTTGACATTGCTAGCTAGTTATGATGAACTTTGCTAGCTATGGCAACATTGACATCTCTCTAAAGTAAACTTGACAACATCATAATGATGGAGACGTTTTTTTTTCTACTAATTATTTGTCTACTTTAGCAATCTCATCATATGTCCAGGCCACTAGTGTAATTTTGACGAAACAGTCAGTAGCCCCCATTCAGAAAGTCTGAGCATTAACCATCAGTTGGACATCAATATGCTGCATCATCTGTAGAAAGTTGATAACAATGGCAACAATGCGACCAAGTACAATGCGACCGAGTGACAGAGGTGCAATCCATGAATATATAAACATTTACAGATATGGAATAATACAATGCAGAAGGCGGAAACTCAAGAACTTTTCCAAATAAATAAATATGCGTGAGTTTGATAAAAATATATAGAAATTATAGGCTATTACATGGAGGGAATAATGAAAACCCTAGAAAAATAACTTTCCTTTCTTTCAGGTAAATAAAATATCTAGAATGTTTGGAAATGTTTGCTCAAGATGTCGAAACAATAAAACAGGAGACATTTTATTTTAGCAAGAGGCTATTGCATGTCAAAATTGTTATTTTTTCCATCAATGTTTTTGTACTGTAACATTGAGCTAGGCTAGAATAGAGATGTTTATTTAGGCTATATGGTTGGGAGCATCCGGAGTGAGAGAGTAAAATAACTATGATATAGCCTAGGCTATGTCTTTTTAATAGCCATTGGATTTCAGTATTTAGCCCTACATTTGTAAAATAACTTTACATTTCTTTATTTTATGCGGAGGGCCTACTATTTTATTAACAACGATGCAGCACTTGATTTGTGCAATGTTATTTGTTTGGGTTTTTACGAAAGGTTCCTGAACATTTTATTGGTAGGTCTTGATGAATATGATGAGACATTTTAAGATGTATCTTTGATTCGATATGCCCATAACTAGCCTAGGCAGCCAATAGTGGGCTCTTGATCTGCACTGTCATCTAGGCTTGATGTTCATTCCCGGTAACACACTCATGTACCCAGTGGACCGGCTCGTACATAAAGCATCCTCCATTCAGGATGCAAAGGCATAGTTTTCCTCCTTAACTAGCTTTAATGGAGAGAAGGCGGAACAAAATGGGAAAATATGCATACTTTCTTTATGAAACAACATTTTCCACCACCATGCTAGAGTGGCTAATGCCTAGGATCACTAGTCTTTGATGCGAGAATTCCTTTCATAGGAAGGCGGGGCAATATCATGAATATTCAGGATATTGCTAATTCGTCACGCTAGCTAGCTAACTTTAGCTAGACTCGGGAGCTCATGGGGACATAGGCTTCAGGAGCCAGCGGGTTAAATATGATTCCACCATGGGCAACAACAATTGGCTACTAGATCATTTGCAGCCAAATATGTTCAACTCATAGCTAGTTTATTCAGTGACTATTCATGAAATTGCGTATCACATTCAGCCAATCAGGTTGCAGCAGTCTGTTGATTACCTCTGGCAGAACACAGGGCTCAACATCAGCAAGTAGCATTCCTAGGCATTAGCCACTCTAGCATGGTGGTGGAAAATTGTGTTTTATAAAGGAAGTATGCATATTTCCCCAATTTTTTCCCCGACCTTCTCACCATTACAGCTAATTAAGGAGGAAAATGATGCCTTTGCAGCCTTAATGGAGTATGCTTTATGTACGAGTGGGTCCACAGGGGACAGGAGTGTATTATCAGGAATCAGTGGAGGCTGCTGAGGGGAGGACGGCTCATAATAATCGCTGGAATGGAGTGAATATATTTGATACCATTCCCCAATTAAGGTGGCACCAACCTCCTGTGCCGGGAATACACATCAAGCCTAGACAATAGTGCAGATCTATTGCCTAGGCTAACTCATCACATAAGGCATAATATTAAAAGCTTTAATTTTTTTCTTTATAGAAATACGGATTACACCATTTTGATTTTGATCAAACCTGTCATGTCAAAACAACTGAAACCTAGGTTTGGTTTGAACCTGACATGCCAATGTTATAGCCAACTGTTAATAAAGGGACATATTGGCCATTAAAAGAGGGACCTGGTTTAAAATAATAAAATGTCAACATATTTTTTATTGTTCCAAAAAGTATAAATATTGTTTAAACGAACTAATTGCACACTCTTATCATGAGTCACTTAAACTCTATATTTTGTCAGAAGTTCGCTTTGATAGGCTATTGCAGTTATGGTTGTCAACATTATTAAAAGATAAAGATACTAGGCTGGCTATGCCTTTCCGTTTACGCTTTTAAATAAAATATTATTGGATTTCTACATGCAGAAACCGTTGAAATAAAAATTATATTTGCTCTCATTATCAAGGAACAGGGCCTGTAAGGCATTACGTTTTTATTTAATCGAGCCTTTCAAATATCTTATTTCACGAGGCAAGCTCAACAATACACAAATCAAATAAAGTAAATGATACAAAACAACATCCGAAGGACACATTCATTTTTATTTAAAGTGTGAGGAACTCAACAAAAACATATTAATTTACCCAAATAAACCAGCACAAAAGATGCCAATTCAGCTACCTCTGATAGTCTTCAGTGCTTGTGAAAAAGAAACCTGAGTTTTCCCTGCCAATTGCACAGTGCTGCGCGTTATATCGCATAACAATGTTTGATCAACAGCATATGAAAAAGGTATGCAGGTGGCACGCATTTCCTTCATATATCATCTCAATGGCAGGATAAACAGCAATGCATCAGAAACATTTGAAACTCATTCGGTTTCGTAACAACAAGCGCTAAATAGTGTTAATGTACAATAGCCTATATTTCCATGTAAAAAGGGAAATTATAAATGCAACAAGTTGAAATCTAAGTAGTATATACACGCCAATGTACAGATTTGAATAAATTAATAACAAGTTGCATATTATTTGATACTTACAGGATCTTGGAAACATAAATAATTCAATCAGATTAATCTTTCATATTATGAGTTACAAACGTTTTTCCAAAACAGCTTCAGAAATTAGTTTAACCGGACGTGTTGCTTTCCATCCCTTTTGAAATCTATTGTAATGTATTTTTTGGATGTAGCTTTTTCCTTATCAATAGCCTACCAATATCCTCTGTTTCCTTCAGGGGCCTAGATGCTCTCCATACACAGTTATACACTGACGTTAAGGGATCTATATCACCGATATAGTATCTCGTTTGATGAACTCCCCTGTTGGTCACCTCTTCAGCCCACATCACCCACCCATCTAACTCTCAGCACAACTGTATAGCCCGAAAGAATCACCTCAAAGACACCTTGATTGAACAGGTGATTTTCGTCACTTTTGAGAGTCAATGGCAGGAGACATTTCTCTGGGTTTTTCCAGTCCTCTGACCAGCCTCTGTATATTTAGCAGTTCGTTAGTGGAATCCTTCACAGATGTTTTGGGGGATGCTGTCGTCTGGCTGGACGCTTTGTGGCTGTGGTGCTCAGATACAGGACTTGTTTCTCTGCTGCCTGATTTGGACAGGTCGGATGCTGCGTTTAAACTGCCCGGCAGCCCTGTTGTAAGCAGGTTAGTGCTTGGAGGAATAGACGTGGGCATCTGATAAGGGTTGAATCGCAGTCTTTGTCGGGAGGTGGTGAGGAAATGGTTTCTGCCCAATGTGGAGGCTGCAGTGCAGTTGGGGAGGGCAGAGGCCGCAGCAGCAGCAGCTGCCATGTAGTTGTATGGATACGGGAACAATCCCCCAAAAGGTGGCATCGAAATTCCCTGTGTTTAAAAAATAATCGCGTTATTATACATGTACAAATGCTATACAAACAGAATTCCAGGCCTGTCGTACTTCTTGGATTCTTAGCTGCATTTTTGTCTCTCTGTCTCTGATGTTTAAACGACACTGTGTTATAGGCTATTAAAATAATCTAATCTACTACGATTACAAAAGTAGGCCTATATCTATCCATAATTAAAAGAAAGTATATTATCATGTTCTCAATTAAATCAAAAATGTTATACACAAGATCCCAATTTTGTTTTGAATAGCCCAATAAACTAGACAATAAACTAGGCTTTAGTCATTCTCCAGTGAAACTATATAGTCATAAATCGACATTCAATTGATCATAGGCCTACTGAAATCATTTATTATGAATGCACTTGAAAGTGATGCAAAAAATATGTTTTAATTGTAGAAGTTTGTGCAGGAAAACGTATAGAAATAGCCTATTGTGTTCCATAGGCTACATAATGTAGGCTAATTCGTTGTTAAGAGGACATTACTATTATTTGGTCTATATGCATTGCTACCTTCATGCAAGCTTGTCTGTAGCCTAGATATTAGAGTTGAAGTAAATGTTTACCTGAGACGCTAGCATGTGCTGTGACAGGTGGAATGGGAAGGGACTAGGGCCCGCACTTTGAGAGGAGAGGCCTCCGTTTTCCAGGCCATTAGCTCCGGACATAGAGGCCAACAGATGCCCCATACCCATGTTGGAGAATGCCCCTGGTGCCATCGAAAACTGTCCGGGGTGGAACAACATTTGTCCCGTATTCAAAGGGTTAAAGAACTGTTGACTGTGGAAACCGGAAAGGGCCAGACTCTGCAGGTGACTCGCGCTGAAGTGTGATGGGCTCTCTGTCTGTACCATCAGAGGAGAAAACCCATCGTTGACCCCACTGATGCCCCCACTTTCCGTGTCTTTCTTTGTAGGATCCGTCTCTTTGCGGTGCTTATGATCTAACTTGTCCTTTTCAAGATTTCGAATACTGAACACAGAGTCGCTCTCTTTCCTTGAATCCAGGTAGTCGCTCTTCTTTTCCAGCAGTGGCCTATCTCTCACGCTGTCATCGCCTTTAGGGCTGAAAGGAGAGGTTGGTTCAGGCCGTGGGCTGCTGGCTGCGATGGAGCGCTCCTCTTGTGGGTCAAGCTCCTGATCACTGTCAGTGCAGTTCTTGTCGTCTGTAAAACATTATTCCGAACTTCCATTAAAATATCGAAATGAAATGATAGAATATAACATAATGTGAGTAAAACCCCTACAGTAACTTATAGCCTACCCATATGACACAAAGCAAAAATAACTATAGGCTATGTGAGTAGCATTTGCATAGCTTCCAGTGTGCTACAACCATTTAAAATCACAACCAGTACATGCGTAGCATTACCTTATATATTATTTCAAGGAAGGAGTCGTGATTTAGTGTTAACATTCCTAACGACTTCCCTTCCGCGCGTAAAAATGCATGGTTCGTTGGTGAGGTTAGCATACATTTTGTTTAAAGTCGTTCTATAAAGCTTCCGCAGTTGAACTAGGCCAACGTTTAGTGCTTGGTTGCTTATCTAATGCGTAACTATCGAATAATAATCTGAATACCATGCATACTACAGTAATCAAGGGGCTGAATGTTTATGGACCTGTCAGTAGATGGCGCATTTGTCACACTGATGCATGAGGCCCAGCCTACATGTTTTATAGAGCAATGGATATGGGCAGGGGCACAACTTTCACTGGGGACATGTCCCCCCACATTCTGAAATTGTATTTTTGTCCCCCCCAGTTGTATCATTGGAATGTGATACAAAACGAGCCAATGGTTTGCTTTAGGACCATGTGGACGCCTCCGAGCGAACGGGTAAGCTGTTTGGAGTGTTTAACTGACTGGATAATATATATATATATATATATAGTTATGTCCCCCCCACTTCTAAAACCAAAGTTGCGCCCCTGGAAATACTATACCCTGGATAAAGAAATCTTCCTGTATGTTATTGTTTCTCCTGTTCTACAGCACCTTTATAACTTGTCCCTAAACCAATAGCCTATCACAACTAAGATCGCACAGCATGCAGATTTCTCCACTTATCCTCTGTTATTTTTTCTTCTTATATTTCTCTCTCATCCAATTGTAAATCATCCAGAAAACATTCTGCTCAGCTTAATGACACATAATAACAACATACCTTCAGTTTTGTTCCCATTTTTAATTATCGAGTCTTATTAAATTACTGGCATCTTCAAAATGACCAATTAGTGGACATGCAAATGAATGTAAACACATGCTTAATGAGAGGACTTACCTCGACTGGTTCGGTTGAACCTCAGTGGACTGGTAACAGGTCCCAGTGGAGAATGAACCGAGTCCCTTCCGGTGGTTTGTTCACAGGAGGAGTCATCCGAGTCGGCACAGTCCCGGTGCCCTACGAGGTCCCGGTTCTCATACATGCGCAGCGATGGAAGGGTTAACTGCTTCCTGCAGACCGAACTGAGATTAGTTAATGCATCTGTATTGTGTGATCGAATCACTTTTGATCATGCAAGCAGTCTACTACACAGTATTGCTCAGTCTGCTAATTGTTGTTATCCCAATGAGGCAAGTATTCTCAACTCATTATCATATTTTCAGGGTCATTCAATTCAATATCGAAGAAAATAATATACCTCTTTTCTCGTCGTCCATTTCCCGTGTCTCTGAACCCTTTGGCAAAGGGGTTGTGATCAATTTTGAGCTGTGTAATCTGTAGAGAAAATTAGAGTGCATGGCAATCAACAATGGTATCCTTAAAATAGTAAAATGTATTACATGGAAAAGTACCACTGAACTATTCTTAAATTGCTTGGCGTACTACCACTAATAATACTAATGCCATTGATGAGCAAAATAATACCATTAATTCAACAGGCATTATTGATGGAATAATAATTGTAAGTAACAATAGCAAGTGTATGGTGCTGGGGACTGCTGCGCTTGTTAGCTCGTGCCCTCTGGAGAGGCAAGACAAGCATCTCTGTTGATGATGTGTAATTACTAAAGCCGATCAATTATTCATAATTCTTCTAAAAGGAAAGTGCTATACCTAACATTTCGACTATTATATGCTGATGTAATTCTCAGAGACTGAATGCTACTATTTAAACTTTCGTGGCACACCTATACTGGCCTTGTTCATTTAGGAACAATACTATCCGTTCATATATTAATTTTCGTCTGTCCTATGAGTCTTTCCAAGCTGTGTTCATGCTTTGCCTTAGTGTATTGCATGCTTTGATTGTTCAGAACTGCTTTGGAGTCTCCATGCAGTAGCCCGAGGACATAGTGAAGATAAGTGCCTTCTAATCGATTGTGACTCTGTACCATAAACTTTACACAAGCCTACCATCAAGCCACCAGGCCACTTCAACATGTACTCTAATTAACATCAACATAAGATAGGTTATTGAGTAAAGATTCCTAACGAAGTCCAGATAACTGACTGGTCCAACTGTTTAAAGCATATATCCCCATTATATTTAGATTTTTGAGAACTTATGCAACTGTGAAACTATGAAACAACACGCACACACTTTCTAGTGAAGCTTACCTTGTCATTCTGATATGCAGTGACACCTATAAAATCTGTCTCTGGAAAAACGTATGTCCGGAAGGTGCTGTAAGGGAGCTTCAGAATGTCGTTGGCCCTCACGATATGAAACCTGGGCTGGTATTTATGCATCGAATTCAGGATAGTCTGAGATTGCAAAGAAACAGAAAATATGTTATAAGGTGATCATGGTGATACACGTTTTGGTTTGAACTGAGATGATGATGACAATATATTATTGTATTATTCCAGGGAATTTATACACCCCACCAAAGAGAGACACACACTGTGTTTCATAATGCATTATTAATTTGTAAAAGCCGATGATTTCCTTAAACCATGATTTTACGTAACAAACGTAGACAACAAACAAGCATGACAACAGTTGGTCAACTATTTCGAGCGTTTATAAGCCTACTGACAATGAAGACTGACCGAATGTTTTGCATTGGGGCCGAGTAGGTGCCTACCATCCAGCTTCTATTGTGGAACTTGTTATTTGTAAGAATATATCACAATTATGATTATGCCTTATCATTAGCCTATTACTGATGTTATTACATGTAGCCAGTCCTATATAAAACGGTTACGTGGGATTATGCATTTATATAAACTTTTCTAAAATGTTTTATTGCACTTGTCAATTAATGTAAAGAAGTATGAAGCATTTGCAACATATTTGAAAATGTGTCAAGGACTTTCATAAAGGCGTAGCCTAAACATGGTTATGAAATTAACAGCTCTTGTAACGCTTGACTAATTTGGATTGGCATAACCTGCACTAGACATGAGAAAAACGACAATAGCAGGCAGCAATAACTGAATTACTTTAGCACAATGCCGTAAAATCAAAACTGTATTCAAATCATATTCAAAATACTGGCCTATATGCCGACATGGGCAATAACCTATTGGAAAGCATTTGGAATACGTAGTTGTTATTGCATGTAAGCGTTGAGCGAGTATCTGCTAACATTTCCACGTGCCCTTCTTGCAATATTTCTATCCAAATTGTACTGAAATGAAACACCTTGGGATCAAACATCTATGAATTTTGCTCTTGAGCTCAAGGCATAGCATCGTACTAAAATAGGTCGAACAAGATGTATAAGGTCGCCTGAAGAGACTCACAAATCCAACACAAGAGATGGAAAAAGTATGTCCTCTTGTCTTCGACCTGGTTCTTGCTATACTTGACTTAATCCCATACTTTGACACTCTGCTACGCACCAAAACATACCACGAATGTAATACTTTAAAAAAACAATAAATAAAATCTCAACCACTGTTGTTGAGCCTTAAAACTCCTTTAGAGATGCATGGTGGATTACTACAGTGTTACCAATATTTTTGTGATTTCCTTTTCATTGTTGTTGCTTATCAATGAAGGTTAAATAATTGATCAACTGGTGTTATACCTTCCAACGACTTTACATATGCATTATTCTAGGCATACGTACCTCATTATAATATGAATTGATTGATTGCGTCTACAAAATGGCCTGATAGGAATATCAGCATTGAACCATTTTCAACAGCCAGGTTGGTTTGACTAAAAAGCCTAATTCATATCTTTCATCGAGACATTATAAAATTAAATCAACAAAATACTTACAAATCCATGCTTGTCCGATATATTATTCGTCAACTTCAGTTTATTAAAAGCAACAGGCTTCGCCATCCACTGCTCTCCTGTGGCAGGGCTGTCCGGATGGATGTACATTCGTTTGGGCATCTCCGGGTCAGCTTTCCCAGCTACCATCCAACGCGAGTTGTGGAACTTGTAGCGGCAGTCGTCAGCAGAGACTATATCCATAAGGAGGATATACTTGGCTTTCTTATCAACGCCATTGACGCGAACTTTGAATGGGGGAAACATCCTCCTGCAATAGAGTAAAACGAGAGTGATAAAGATTATGCAAAAATACTGAAACCAAGGGAGATGTAGGCTACACCAATAATTCTAAGGGCAGGCCTTGGAATTCAGCACAAAAGTTCAACAGCCTAACCAAACCACTTAACCTTTTCCCTCTTCAAACACATTTGTTTCGACACATGCATGCATGCATTGGTTGATTGATTGATTGAATTTGGTAATTAGTCTATTTCTCATGGTAGGCCTATTATAGGCCTACCTCTAAAGGCCCAATGTATAAACACTATGCTATATATATATATATACTACAACCTACTTCACTCATATATATATATATATATATATATATATATATATATATATATATATATATATATATATATATATATATATATATATATATATATATATATATATATATATATATATATTCAGTGCCACCACCTTTTGGATTACTATTGCTTGATCCAGAATATTACTATTGTTTGAGTGATTCATTTATATGACCATTTCCTAATCAAATAAACTTATGCAGCAGTATGCACACGTAACAGTAAATAAAGGTCCTTACCTTCCTGATTTCGTAATAACCATCTCGGTTCCTATTTTGTGAAATTGGTCCCATAAATCCTTGGCCTCCAGAGTGACTTTTGGGTCGTCCTCCACCTCTTCCTCCGGCTCCAAGCTCTTGAGGGAGCGGAGATGAGCCACTTGGTGGTGATGACCCAACGCCGCGTGGAGTCCCGCTTCCGCGGCTCCAGAGAGAGGATGGTCGGATAGGGGTTTGGGAAGAGCGCCGTGAGACAGCGTAAGTCCATGAAAGAAGGAAGGCTGTGCAGCTGCAAGGAAGGCTGACATAGGAAAGTCGGCCGGCCGGTGAGCGTGAAAAGGGTGATAAGCCATGGCAGTCCCTGTGTAAACTGGATCTCTCATCTGTGCATCCAAAACATCGATGTAAAATTATTATACGCTATTATGTCCACTCTCAGTAGAAGTATTGGTGTGTGTGTGTATCCAAAAGACAGATGTCTTATTCGAGCAGAAATATAAAAGTAGTTTCGCGTGCGTAACCAAGAGCGAACGCGTCTCAGACGCCTCCAACAGACCGAGGGAGGCTTGAGTGCACTGCTACTCCTGATGCTGCGTTCCCACACAGCACCGTGATAATATCCGTCAAAGAGACGGCATCGACACTTCGAGAGCAGAGCTGGGCTTCACTTCTTATCCAACCAAGTAACTTTCGGAAAAATAAAATCACTCTTTACACGGATATAGTTCTGTGTACTGAGTTCAAATTGAGAGGTCTTGCTCTGACCACTTTGGAATTGTGACTGCCTAACATGTCCCTCCTCCCTGGATCCAGACACTAATGAACCAAGCCCGCTTGATTGCCGATTTTACGCTTTCTGGACCAATTGTGGAGCTCTATAGGCGTGGTTTTGACAGCTCCGGCCAAGATCGGTAGGGGGGGCTAAAAGGTGTCGGAAGCATTAGCTGTAAGAAAACATGTAAACAGAATAAAATATGAACCAATGACAGAGTAAAGATCTGGAAATCCCTCCCCCAAACTTCGAATGGAACACCAGCTGGCTTTTGCTGCATGGCCGGTGAAGAGGACGGATCCTCCGTCTGCTTAGTCGTTTTGTGAAGCCTTCACTCCACGCAAGAACTAGCCTATACATCCTATTTCTAATATCGACTGGTTCAAATTATTCGTCCAGTAAAGCCTCACTTGAAATAATGGTATTCATACTAATGAATGAGTTTATAAAACAGCAGCTTTTATTCCTACAAAACTTTTTGTAGGCCTAGAAACGAATGTCTCTCTGGCTGGTAAACAGACTAGGCTACTACACAACGCCTTGGTACCTGGCTTAGAATTCGGTTGTGTTTTTAAAATACTTTTACTTTATGGTGTCTTTTGATGCGCTGTTGTTGCACTTTTGTAACGTTGTGATAGGCTATATTCATATTCATAACATCATATGTATAACTATTCTATTGATATGTGCCTATCAAAACGTACACATGTATTATTTAACAGCTAGACATTTAGCCTAGCAAATACATTAGTTTCATGGAATCATATCCCTGTTGTCGGAAATGTACTCCAGATGCCATATCAAAGCACAGAAAGAAGAGAGATTTGAAGAGCTACACCCGATTACAACTGAGCTGAGGCGAAGTGGGCTTATACCTTCGAGGAGTTATTCAAGAGTTATTCAATTCAACGGAATGTCTTACATCTTCAAAACAGACGGATTTAAGATAAGGATAGGCCTACGATTTTGTATTATTATTGCGAATCTATGGATGTATTATAACCTACTTTTTCAGCAAAGTTCTTTACCATACATTAAATATCAAATGTATCCAAAATTGACAGAAAATTATTGACTATTCGAAACAATAGCATATCATATTATTTACAGCGGCAAGGGTTCATGAGTAGACAATGGTAGGCTATGCCTGACCGTTTGTAGGGATTCTCAATAGGCTACTGCTCATTAGACATGGCACGTGCGTTATGCAAGATGCAACCTGGTGAATTTGTCAAACTTCATACTATCGGCTACCAAAGGTTATGTGTGATTCCTGTGTAGCAATATAAATTTCTCGAAATACCATTGTGTATACCTTTAAGAAGTCCTTGTGCAGATCCTTGATTGAGTTGGGCTACGTTTGTTAAGGAGCGCTTGGCGCCAGTCTGCTGGCGTCCCACAATAAGAACCCTTTCCTGTCACTTCATATTTAACCCCAAATCTTCAAACAGCGTGCTCCAATCTTCTCTGCATTCCCTCTAAGGCTGCAGCCCATGATATATCTGTAACTTCGGATTTCCTGCACTTGCCAGATATCGGCGATAGTTTGGCTATAATTATTTATTCGAATGCAGAATTCTTAATGAATGAATGAAGAGGTGCAGTTGCAAGTTTAGTGCGCGCTGACGTCGATAAAGTTCACATACTCAAGCCAAGCTTAAAACATTCAAAAATCCAGCTGAATACACCGGACCTCTGTCACAATGGTGAGACTCTTCATAATTATACCCTCATAAACCCTATAATGCAATATGTTTTCACATTATATTTTCTTTCTGTTATTTTCTTTCTGTTTTGGAGTTTATCTAATCTTGAACGAATTGTCACTTGTTAGCATTGAAGAAAATTATACGAGGATCTTATTTTGAAAACATGTAGTCACACATAATATATTACTAAAAGAATGTTTTAACTTTTAACAATGCATATTCAGTGGTATGCTGTAATGTCATTTACATTATATGACATTTACAGATCATTCAAACGATTAGGGGAGAAGAAGTGGAATATGGAACGTAGGCCTACACACCTTAGGTGTCGATAATGGTGTGTCTGGAAGAGTCCATTGACATTTTTGAAAGGTGTTTGGTATTTGGTAATTTTGTATGCCATAACCTTGTAGAACTATCAAAAAACACCAGAATGGCCTGCGGACTTTTGCCATTCTGATGCGCAATATCGGGTTATCTATAAAACCAACATTAGCACGCTAATAGTGAAGCTACACCAATCATAGACTAATAGACTAAACAGTAAGGTCAGTAAAGTGAAAGGCATTGTTGATTTTTATTTTATTTGATAGAATGTATATTTTCTTGTTGAAGGTGCATATAGGCCTATTTTCTTGTAAAATGTTTCCATGGCAAACATTCATAGCCTACGTAAACTGTAGAATATAATTTCATATTATTCACAAAATGCAATAGGCTATTCGACCAGTCAAGTTCAAACATTAAAGAAAATTCGTCATTTGCAGAACGAAAAAATACAACCCCTGAAAACCATTAGGCCTATACTTTATTATGATTAATATTTTTACACTGATTATCATAGGCCTATAGAGTTGGTTGATGTTAAGGTCCCCACACCTATAGGTAAAGCCTACCAATATAACCCATATAATCACGAGGCCAATTCTGGGTGTTTGTGTCTGCAATTCCCAGACCAAGAACGTTGTAATTAGGCAGTGTTTGAGCAATGGTAATGGACAATTAGTGTACAGTCTGACCGCAGTTGCTGAAATAAAGTAAAAGAAAAAACACTATTTTGCTATTATTATTTTTCAGTAACACATTTGGAAGGCTACATATAGACTACTACTACTTATATTTTAAGTATTTGAAATGCAAAAGGTTAAACCCACACGGAGGCAGATAATGATTTCCCATGTAAATATCATTCAACTAATTACATAAACCAAGGCAGACATTATGCTCAATTTATTTATTTTAGGGCTTCCACAGTAAGCCTATGCGCATATAGGCCTAGTTGATGTTGTGGTTTTATATAGGCCTAGCCCTAGCTCGGTGAGTGCACATGGACCATTGTATTTATCTTTACTTTTGTTTTTAACTTCAACTTCAACCTAAATAATTTCTTCTGTTGAGCGAAATCAGTGGGTCAATTTGTATTTGTTGACATGACACAGAATTAGGTGCACAAGTCACTAGTGCTATAGTCTACCCAGCTAGCACATAACGTTCTGAGAACCTTATGTTTCTTAGAGCTTGGCGAGAGCATGGTTGTCCGATGGTTATTTTGCATACAACCTTCCCACAATTTTCTGGGAATGGTGCAGGATAGTTGCTTGGCTCTGGAACATTCTCAGAACATTTAAGGAACTTGACAATTTATTTTTATTTTCTTGGTATTTCATTACTTTAACAGAACATTTCCTAAAAGTTCAAAAATGGCTACATTTAATTTCCTTTTTGGTAACGTTCCAGGAACGTTCTCCAACTGGTTAGACATTGAGAATGTTCTCAAATAGTCCAGAGAACGTTATGAAACAACATTCTTCTGTGAGAATTTCAGTACTTCAGCATAATATTTCCTACAGGTTTCCTCATGGTTCTATTTAAAGTATTGTTCTCAACTTGTTCAAAGAACTTTAAGAAAACTTTCCATAAAAACCACAAGAAAACATTAGTAACGTTCAGAGAACATTCTAAGAATGTTATTTAAAAACCTATACATTACGTTCTCAGCATCAGCAAAAATCTCTCTATCCTCTATCTTGTTTAATGTGTTCAGGTGTGTTGGCCGCACCCACTAATTGGCCACACATGATCTTAATGAGTGCTTGTTTCCTTTTAAATGCGGTATGTTTGAATAGACTTAAACAGCTTTGTATGCATAAACCATCCTGGTGGCGCAGTGGACTAATTCCATGGATAGAGAAACAAAGATTATTGGTTCAAATCTCACTGATGCCATGTCACAATAAAAAATGAATGTGTTTGCATTATTAATGCCTGAGAAAATGAATTTCCATGTGTCTTATCTGGGCTTGAAGTTCAAAAAGGTTTACCCAAAATAAGCTAGCAGTGTTATTGAAACATTCAGTAAAAGTTTTAAGGAAATTATTTAAAAACCTCAAAATAACCTATAATTTCAGTTTTCAACACGTTAATAAAACCTCCCAGGAAAACTTTCAAGGAACCAGAGTAAAACGATCTCAGAATCTCCCTGCAACCTAAAAAATAAACATTCACAGAACAGGCAAAATGTTTACTTCTGTTCTCAGAACATTTAGAAAAAGTTCAATTTTACTAGTCAGGAAACGTATGGCTGCTTCCCACAACCAATGTGAAACCAAAAACATATGTTCTCACAACTTCCAAGGAACCAAATGTTCTAGCTGCGTATAGCCTGCCAAATAGCCTACATGTGTGGTGTAGGGCCTACACTTTAAATGAGGGAGTATATCCAGTAAAGAAACACAAATTATTTAAAATGTATCGGATACAACACGTGTGTCCCCCTGCGATACTATATGCTGTTATAAATGTGCTCTACATTTCCCTTGAATCTTTTCATCGTTCCCCTTCCATCTCTCTCACTTTCTGCAACTGCTCCTTGGCTATATTTATCCCGAGGACTGAGGTCTTGGCGCCAGACCGTTTAAGACCTGTCAGAGTCCCTCATATTCCCGGGTCACATAGCCAAGGCAAAAAGTATCCGAGCCTAAAAAACTAAACCAATCCCCTCTCGCCCCTCTAACCCCTGGTCATGGTCAATTCCCTCACTTCACCCTTTGCGTTCGTTCGTTCGTTCATTCATCCATCCATCCATCCATCCATCCATCCATCCATCCATCCATCCATCCATCCATTCAGACATTCATTAATTCGTTCAAATCTGGTTTTAATCCCCTTGCATCGCGTCAGTCTTTGGGGGTTTAGCAATTTGCTCTTCGTTGTGGCTGTCTCATCTCATTGACCCCAGTCAGTGAGACCGCCGTCCAGTTCCCTACCCCCGCTAATTCAAAAAGTCTAACCGATTGTTGATAACTAGGCCTATCATAACTTATTCATAGCAACAATCGTTGGCGC